GGCAAGTGACAGCGTTGATCTGCTGGGCAATGAATGGACAAATGCTTCAGTTGTGCAGTTCAGCACAGACTCGAACACTGTACTAATAACGTAACCTGTTGAGACCTCTGGAACACAAAGATGGAATAGAGGCTTTATCACGTCTCTGTGTCAAGAGCCACTTCCCTGCAGAGTTCAGTTTCAACACTATTTAGTTGCACCTGAATCAACTAATCCAAGTATTTTGGTTTACTTGATAATGACAGCCAGGTGTGTTGGAACTAAACTCTGCAGGTTAGTGACTCTCCAGAAGCATGAAACAGGAACCCTGTCACAGATGGACAGCCAGAAGATGGTGTTCTCCACTTGTATAATTAACCTACAGCCTTTCCTGTGGTATTTATATGGTTAAAAAGTAAAGTTATGTTAGGCCTTGTCTTTCATCTCAGCTCCCTAACAAAGCTGTCAGCACACTTAAGAATCTGCAAAATAATAATGATGTCCAAAACGACGACAATTCAAGTGCTCAACATAATTCCTGAGTGTAGAAGTGTCTACATTTTTTCTCTTTTTTTTTAAACAAATTCTTGAATGTTTTGACTGAAAAGTGTGTTTGTTTATAATTATGTATTGTCATATAATTTTGTATTATAATACAAAGAGATTTATACATTTTTAATTGGGGCTTTAGTGTCCAACAACTTTTTAAGGTGCAATTTGACTGATTAATTTGGTTAAAAAAAGGTCTGGTCACTCCCCTAGACAGAAAACTTGTATTACATTAAATTAAATGGAACACTCAAATTAAATTTGTTTTGAGAAACCAGCCCTTTGTAAGTCCACACAACTTGTCGTACTGGTTCATGCTCCATAGTATTTCATCAAATAGTAATTATTTAGTCAGATTAAATAGATCCTTTAGCAAGGGAAGTGGATATGAATTACTTGGAGACACCATATTCCACCATACCCACTTCTGGAAAGCTGGTCGTGGGAGTTGTGGCATGTTGGATAAATCCCTAATATCTCTATGATGAAACATTACCCCATGTGCTTGGTTAAACAGACCTCTGTCATCCGTTAAACGATATCGAAAGCTGAACTGCAGGGTCCAAATCCAAAACTGTTGCCAAAAGGCCACATCCAGATCAACAGAGAATGGTGTCTGGTTCTCCTTTCTCTTTAGATGTTCCTATCAGATGTTTGTCCAAGGTGATGTTCGCAGTGCACTTGTAGTTCTGCATCTTAAGAACACTGAGGCAAGTTACTGCGCGGATGTTATTTATCTGGACATGAGCAGCAGTGGATTTGCTGAACAAGTTTTTGGTTGAGTTGTAGCACATGTAGATTGTAAAACATGCCATCAAAAACATGGCGATTGTAATGTTCCGAGTGGTTTTTAAATGGTTGTGGGTATTGTTTTGTCCATCACTAATGTAGGGAAAGAGATGTCAAATGGATCAATATTCAGCTTAAAATATGTGACCCTGGACGACAAAACCAGTCATAAGGGTAAATTTTTTGAAATTAAGATTTATACATCATCTGAAAGCTGAATAAATAAGCTTTCTATTGGTTTGTTAGGATAGGACAATATTTGGCCGAGATACAACTATTTTAAAAATCTGGAATCTGAGGGTGCAAAAAAAATCTAAATGTTGAGAAAATCGCCTTTAAAGTTGTCCAAATGATGTCATTAGCAATGTATATTACTAATCAAAAATTAAGTTTTGCTATATTTACGGTAGGAAATTTACAAAATATCTTCATGGAACATCTTGGCATAAAAGAAAACTCAATAATTTTGACCCATACAACGTATTGTTGGCTATTGCTACTAATATACCCGTGCTACTTGGTTTTGTGGTCCAGGGTCACATATTATAAAATGGGCTTTAAAATATAGAAATTATCATCTAGAGTTGTATGGGAAAATATTCAATAACATTTTATTTTACAGAGTCCTTGTTAAATGTTATTACTACAACTAATCCTAAACCAAACCCTAAGCCTATGAGCACTCATTACCCAGTGCTTAAATATATAATTATACTGTAAAAATGTCACCTTAAAGTGTAAGTCTAAGGACATATAAATGTTTGTATAGCTCACAGACAAAATATTTGCAAGATCTTCCTATGCATTTTGTTATATTAAATGAAGGGCTATTTTTACTATTCCTCATATGCCTGAATCTCATTTTCCATGGCCTATGTTTTATATCGTAATTGTAAATTTACAGCATTATATATGAGACGTCTGCATCTTTTAATTTAATTAAGGTTCTAAGAGGAAACGGGCATTATGGTTTAAAATAGTTTCTCCTCGTCTCTTCTCTTTCCTGCATCTACTCTCGTGATGTGGTTCTTCCAGTTTTGCTAAGGCTGGTGATACACGCCTTCAGCGAGGCAAAATAAGGGACACCCATTCACAAAAAAACCCCACCAAGGACACAAATAATCAGTGAGAAACTCATAACTCAACAGTAAACCATGAGAAAACATGTTCAAGAAGGCTATGTAAACTTGCAACAGAACACATTAATATTATTTTAAATTTGATTATAATTAATTATTATTAGTCTTTTTTTTTTGACAGTTCTGCAGCTGTTCTGGGTGGGATGAATTTGTATTATTTTTTATTCATTTGCTTAAATTAGGACAACTTTATTCTGTAATTATTTGTCCCATTTTTATCTAAATAGTTTAGCATTTTTTAAAACTTTTTAAAATGCCAAATTATGATTTATTATGTATATATTTATGATTAATATAAATGATAAATTAATAAATAGGGTCTAACATAAAATATGCCTATAATCTATTAATTAATCTGTCTAATAATGTCTAAAATATAATAATTATGTCTATTAACTCAGATTATGTATGAAATATTATTAACAGACTATCCAAATTTTAATAAAACAATAGGCCTAGAAGCATGGATGTGTCTGTCACTTTAAAGGTATGGTTCACCACAAAAATTGAAAATTCTGTCATAATTTACCCAGGTTGTTCTAAACCTGCATAAAGTTCTTTCTTCTGCTGAACACAAAAGAAGATACTTTGAAGAATGTGGGTAACTAAACTGTTTCTGGTCCTCAGTAACTTCCACAGTAGAGAAAAAATACTATCAGAGTCAATGGGGACCAGAAACTGTTTGGTTAGCCACATTCTTCAAAGTATCTTCCTTTATGTTTAACAGAAGAAAGAAATGATTACAGGTTTGTAACAACTTGTGGGTGTGTAAACGATGATAACATTTGTGGGTGAACTATCCCTTTAAGTCAGGCAGTCCACTGAAAGCAAACTCTTCATCAGTAAGGTACATTTAGCCTACATTTCATTGGATTTTCCTTATTTGTACGCACTGGATGAAAGCTATTTAGGCTACTAAACTGTATTACATTTTACATTTCCATTTAGTCATTTAGCAGATGCTTTTATCCAAAGCGACTTACAAATGAGGACAATGGAAGCAAATATATTATTAAACAGATGTCACTAGTTGAATTACAACGTTTCTGTTTTTGACATTCAAATTTTTCAAAATTCAAAATGTTATAAACCTAAACTTAAAATGACAGCAAGGGTACTATTTCGTGCCAATTTACATGAATAGTTTGAAAATGATATTTAGATGAGAATTATGTATTCAAGGGCAGGCTTTAAGATGGTTTAGATCCTACCTGTCCGATCGCTACCATTTTGTTCATTTAAATGGGGAGTCATCTCAATTATCACCAGTAAAATATGGAGTGCCACAAGGGTCTGTCCTAGGTCCTCTGCTATTTTTGATATACATGTTGCCACTTGGTAATATTATTAGAAAATACGGGATTAGTTTCCACTGTAATGCTGATGATACTCAACTATATATCTCAAGACCAGATGAAACTTATAAAAATTATCTAAGCTAACAGAGTGTGTTAAAAATTTAAAAGATTGGATGACCAATAATTTTCTCCTATTAAATTCGGATAAGACGGAGATATTACTTATTGGACCAAAAGACAGTACACAGAATCTCTTGGATTACAATTTTCAACTAGACGGATGTACTGTTACTTCCTCTACAGTCAATAATCTGGGTGTTATATTAGATAGCAACTTGTCTTTTGAAAATCATATTTCCCATGTTACAAAAACAGCATAGAAACATTGCCAAGTTACGAAACATGTTACCTGTTTCTGATGCAGAAAAGCTAGTTCATGCATTCATGACCTCTAGACTGGACTATTGTAATGCACTGCTAGGTGGTTGTCCTGCATCTTCAATAAACAAGCTACAGGTAGTCCAAAATGCAGCGGCTAGAGTCCTTACCAGGTCAAGAAAATATGATCATATTACCCCAATTTTACAGTCTATGCACTGGCTACCTATTAAGTTCCATATCAGTTACAAAATATTAGGGCCTTTCGCACCGCTTTAGTTCCACACCATTATAACCATTAAAACCATCACTTTTTTTCCCAGCAGGGTGTTCAGTAATTTACCAAACTTTACATTTCTCTCACCCAAACATGGTTGACAGCAGATGATGAATCTGTTCCAGGGTTGAGATTACCTGGATCATTTACATAGTTAACAAATTATTTGTTTTTTATTCAGTAAGACTGGCAAAACTTCTATTACGTCAAAGTCTGCTCCTGACAAATGACACAGACATTCTTAGGCCATGTTTTTTCCTCCGCTTTATTTCAACAGGTGTGGCCAGGCTTTAGTTAAGCATGGAATGGTGACAATGACAGTCCTCTCTCTCAATGTGAGTAAATTATGCGCCTCTAAAGACATGTTCACTGACAGCTGCTGGCAGACAGTAGGCAATTAAAGACAAGTATTAGTCTAAGAAAACGTCCCCAGCCATATTCACGTGCGAGGACATTCCATCGAGTAACGATTAGTCCGTGACTTCATTTGAATCCTATGTTTGCCTGAAATTATGTACTATATTACAAGCTTTTTACAACTTAAAAATAGATTAATAACTATCATTACCATATCTATGTACTTGTAAATACGTTTCTTTTTTTTCTTTTTTTTACAAATCCCGTACCAACACTTTAATCAGTAAATGTAAGGCAGAACAACAAAAAAACGTTCACAACTGTCCATCTAATCTACACCATTTATGAAAAAGTTAGCTCTTCTGCAGATCTGAAATGCAGTCTATTCTCTGGAGAATAAACACAAACGTACAAACAGGAAGATCTAACAATATGACACTGAACAAGCTGTGGATGAACTGTTATCAGTGCCAGCCTGCATGGCTAGGCTGACTGCAAACATCACTTAGATGAACATGACTGGTAATGAAATGACTAGTTACCACATTTCTGCAGCAATACTATATAGTATAAGACAACCGTTCCAGAACCCTTGGTTGTTCTGTCACCCAAAGAGCAGATGCATTGTTTAAAAACAGAAGAAAATGAAGCAAATTTTGCAGCTTCACATGCAAATTTAGCCAGCGTTTATATTGGAGGTCTGTCCCAAAAAAGCAGCATGCACTGAACTTGATTTTTGCAAAGTGATGAAAATCCTAGATCAAGTTCATACACCGTTAAAATGCACCATCAAAGGCTGTCTTTGACACAACGCTGCCCTATAAAAGCAGTCCGTAGGCAGCATAAGGACAAGGCCTGCTTTCAACCAGATCACAAACATAATGCAAGCAGCATAGCCGTGCCGTCCTGTAATGGGAAAATGACAGAAAGGCCAGCATTCACAATGCGGTGCGAGGATTATTGCAGGACGACAACTCCAAACTTGAAAAAAAATCCCATGGTCCATCTTTAGAACAAACGATAAAAGGCAATTGACCTACCGGTTTCCCAAAGGAGGATGTGTTACGACTGAAGGAGCCATGCTGATTTATTAATGGCAGAGCATCTGTTGGCACTTTTGGACCTTTCGTTCACAAACTTACCGGAGGGTAATGAAGCCCAACAAACCCCCTGAGAGAACTTAAAGACAATGGCTGTTCCCTGAAAGGGTCACGACCAGGACAGAAGACAAAAACATCTAAAGCTAACAGTTTTTACAGTTCAGCTCACACTCAGACGCTTTCTGCTCCGAGTGATTATTCACAGTGCATAACATGGGGTAGCGAATGAGAGGAAAAACCAACAACAAAACACTGAACATGTTGCCTGACATAGTAGTTAAGACATTTTCCAGGGACATGCTTTCCACTTCCCGTCTCAAGTGCTACGCTTTACCTACATACAGGCTCTGACGGCCACTTCTAGCTCTCAGTGCACATCCAACCAAATGTGCAATGCTACCTAGGTACAAGGGAAAATAATAAAATAAAGATGGAATGCAATACTTTCCTTTATCTCACTTTTTTCTGAGCGAAGACGACCTTCGGCACCGGACAAAAGTGATACGATGGAGCTTGTTTGAATGCAGAGGAATGTTATCCGATGGGGGAATGGCTGTTAAAAAAACCAACAAAACACTGAACATGTTGCCTGACATAGTAGTTAAGACATTTTCCAGGGACATGCTTTCCGCTTCCCGTCTCAAGTGCTACGCTTTACCTACATACAGGCTCTGACGGCCACTTCTAGCTCTCAGTGCACATCCAACCAAATGTGCAATGCTACCTAGGTACAAGGGAAAATAATAAAATAAAGATGGAATGCAATACTTTCCTTTATCTCACTTTTTTCTGAGCGAAGACGACCTTCGGCACCGGACAAAAGTGATACGATGGAGCTTGTTTGAATGCAGAGGAATGTTATCCGATGGGGGAATGGCTGTTAATAAGGTGCAGGCTCTGTGTCTTTAGATGTGCATGTGAGATTGTCTGTTTATGAGCGTATGGGTCTGTGTGAAGAACCCTCGTCGCCGATGCAGCTCGAGTGACTGGTCACAGTGTTTACCTCCCAACAGGCGGCAAAGGAGGGGCTCCTCTCATTACTGCCAAACAAACAGAGACACGCATGAGTCCAAGCTCTCAAAAAAATCACTGTTGATATCGTACCAGTAGCAAATCATAGCCATCAGACAAAAGCATTCAGCAGAGTCATGTGATAAAGCTATTAGGGGTGTGAATCGGCACTGGTTTCACGATTCAATTCGATTACGATTATCATGTCAACGATTCAATTCAATTCGATATCACGATGCATCACGATTATATCAAATTTATTTTGTGCATTTTTATACAATTATATAAGCAGGCTACTTATTAATTAATTATTGTTAAGCATTAAAGTAAATATAGCTTTAAAGCATACAAGCAAATATAAAGTAATAAAGGGGGGAAAAGACAATTACAAGGGATAAACAAAAAACACTTTCAGTATAAGAGTGCTTTAAGCATATGAAAGTTTACAGACAAACATAGTTATGGGTTTTTCAGCATTATTGCTGTTTGATTATTACTGATGAGTTCATAGACAGTGGCAGCTTTAATAGGCTGCATTCACACTAATGCACAGATCCGTTTCCACATATCAGATGTTTTGTCCTGTTCTGAATACATAACTGACTGTTTACACATTAATTTCGAATCATAAAAGTATTCGGAGATGCAAGTGCTTTTAAATGCAGCCGCAAGCTTCAGGACAAACAAACACAAAGCGCACGTGAAAGTCAGTACGCGAGTTTCAGGCATCTAATACGTACTGCATTCCAAACGGCAGAAATTAAAGCATATCTGAAGTAAAAGACTAAAATAACAGCGAGTGGAAGCACAAGCAATACGCACGTGTCTCACAGCGCATATTCTGTGCAATGAAGCCGGCGTGATTGTCTCTAGAGCACACGTGCCATATGCGGGAAAAAGCCAAAAATAGAGTGCATTTTTAATACTCGCGTGACAAGCGCGTATGCGAATGACGTCAATAGGCTATAATCGATTATAGTCTATTACTGCCTCGATGCAGAACCGTCCACGTCAGCATCGATTAATTTCGACACCCCTAAAAGCTACTGAAGATGAAAAGCATGCAGCAGCTCTGTCTTTACACAAGCTCATGAAAGCATACGAGTGATCAAAGGAGGCTTTGTGCTCACTGTGAGATGCATTACATGTATTTGTTGAAGCTTGTGTGTTTCTGAACAAAACTGCTAGATTGAACTGTTCATTTCCTGGGACTTACCTCTGTTAGCTTTGCTTGGGTATATCTTCGTGAAGTGTCTATACTCTTCTGGAGGAGGGAAGTCATCCAGAGGATGAAAAGAATACTTGGACTCAAAATCATCTGTTGGAAGAGACGAATTAAAAAAAAAAAAAAAAATTGTATAGCATTTTTTTTTACAGAAAACGATAATGTATACTACCATGCAAAGTTTGGGGTCAGTATGATTTTTTTTTAAAGAAATACTTTTATTCCGCAAGGACACGTTACATTGATCAAAAGTGATAGCAAAGACGTTTATCATGATGTTTGAACTGAATTCTGAACAAAATCTATCACAGTTTCCAGAAAAAATATTAAACAGCATGACTGTTTTCAACATTGATAATAAATGTTTCTTGAGCTGCAAATCAGCATATTAGAATGATTTCTGAAGGATCATGTGACACTCAAGGTTTAAATTAAAATAAGTTCACAATATTACTGTTTTCACTGTATTTTTTATCAAATGCATGCAGCCTTAGAAAGCAGTTTTGTTGGTCACTCCGGATAAGAATGTCTGCTAAATGTGTAAAAATGTATAAAATGCCAATATTTGGCAAACAAAACCAATACAGAGATTGTATTAAAGTTTCAAAGGGGCTTGACAAACCACATAATTACATTATCGATGATCTTAGAAAGAGTGAGCGCATGCCTAATAATGCCACTGGATTGTCTAAAAAGCCATTAAGTCTAATTATTTGATGCAATTATCTTGTTAGCATCGTCATACACTGAATATGCAATGGCTCAGTAACAGCTGCAACTGCGGCTGCCTGTGAACTCATTACATGAGTAACTTGTTTTTATATGAGCCATTGTGAGAGTGTTTCTGTAATTCACATGACTGAATCATCTCTTGCCCTATGATATGAGCGCTGCGCCAACGTTTAAATTTGGAAAAAACATCACCCTCTCTATATGAACGGAGGATGATGAAATAAGGATGTGAGGGCAGGTGCAGGGTGAGAGTGAGCTTGAAGGACTCACCTACAAAGGAACGGGAAATGGAAGTGTGTCCATTGCGG